TTTTTTTTTTTTTTTTTAAGGATGGTTGTCAGGATCTGTCCGTCACTTTAACGGAGCGCTGTGCTGGCAGCGGCAGAGAGTGACAGCACGCCAGACCGTCCTGTTTGGCAGTCACAGGTGTTGACTGTGGGAGGATGCAGTGTGTGTGTGTGTGTGTGTCTGTGTGTGTTACCACCCACTGAACGCCAACTGCTGGTGGATTTGTCTTCGCTCTTCGATCAGTCAGGGTCACTCGCGTCACTGGCTGATTTATTAATGAGACAATAACATTTAAATTCATCCGTTCGTCCATTTTATCCATCAGTTAAAAACTTTGTTGTTCCTCACGTGTGTTTTCTGTCCTAAAAATGTATTTTTAAGTTTATATAAATATTTAATACTGTCGGAACTGAATTAAGGTTTTGAAGATAATTTCAAAATAGTTTTCTTCAGACTTCAGTTGTTGTTTGTTGTCACTGTTTTCTGTTGTTTCCTTTCAGTTCTTCATTGTTTTTCTCAAATTTTAAATCAAAACTCACTTTTAAAAACAGAAGGAAAGTAATGAAATATCATTAGGTGAGCGTGTTCAGTAACCATGGCGACTGTCCCTCGCAGGAAGTGATCCGGAGCCTGGTGAAGAGGTACGTGGCGGCCATGATACGCAGCGCCAAGACGGACGAGGGACTGACGGAGGAGAACTTTAAGGTGAAGGAGAAACAGCTGTTGTTGTTGTTATCGACTGTGGCTGTAAATAATGTGATTTTGAATAACCACCCGACATCACCTGACATCTCTGAGCCCTCGCCCAAATTCTCTGGCTCCGATCGATACCGACAGCTCGCCATCCTCGAGAGTTTCTCTGCTTTATCCAAATCTTCTGGGTCATAAATTATTCTGATGTGATTTAACAGCCGAGGCTGCTCCCATGATGCCTCTGGATTTGGATTTGGCTTTGAAATGGAAAGTTCCTATGGGCTTGTAAAATCAACATCAGGTGCAGATCAGACTGAATCACTATGCGCGTGTGTGCGTGTGTGTGTGTGTGTGTTAAAGTAAATCACTTGTGTTATTCTCTGAGGAGTGAAGCTGTGTTTGGATCCCATATTGCGATATAAGAACAATCGATGTAGAAGTAAACACTGTGAGTGTGTGAAGATATTTTATCATCTTACATTTTATTTAAATCAACATTCTGTAACTCGACTTGAGTAGAAAAGATAGATTTTCGTTTCAGAAACATAATTATTTTGTTCAGATTATCAATAATAATTTCTCTCTCTCTCTCTTTTTCCAGGAGTTGAAACAGGACATCTCCAGTTTCCGCTACGAGGTCCTTGATCTCCTCGGCAACCGACGTCCTCCCCGGCGACACTACTCTTCCTCCAGCGAGACAATGAGAGAAGATGGCGCCATGGCCTCGGAGGATGACAGCGAGTCGGGGGATGGCGGCAGCGGAGGAGGTGGTGGGTTCGGAGGCCAGAGGTCAAAGGGCGTGACTTTCATGACCCCGCTAGAGGATGAAGTGAGGCCGGCGGCCACGCTCTCTGTTTCGGCTCTGGTGCGCTCCATCTCCGGGATGACACGGATAGAAGGTGGGGGAGAGCGAGAGGAGGGGGAGCTGGAGGAGGGCATCGGATGGGGGGAAGAGGAGGAGGAAGAGGAGGGGATACCAAAGAGTAATGGGCTGAAGACGACCGTCATCCCTCCGTCCTCCACCAACGTCCTCCCTCTGCCATCGTCATCATTCTCCTCGTCGTTCTCATCGCCATTCGCTCGCACGAGGAGTCGTCTGCAGCGCATCTCAGCTCCCAGCACAAAGACGGACTCCTTCAAACGCCTCTCCTACCTGTTCTCTCGCTCCAAACGCAAAGCGCCACCCATGCCTCTTCCCCTCCAATCTCCGCCCTCCTATACCATTTCAGACGGGTTGCTCCGCCCCCTTGGGAGCCACAGCCACTCCGACTTCGGACTCAGTGACGTGACCAGAAGCGAGATCCACCTGAACGAGGTGGGCCGCTCAGTCGACATCAATAACCCCTCATTCTCACCGCGGAGAACGAATGGGCGGGACTCGCTCCTGAACCTGCCCCTCCCACCCCCGTGCCCCTGCCAATCCCTGCACTGTGCTTCCAACATGTCCGAGTCCAGCTCTCGCCTCCTGGACTCCAGCGAGGACGTTTTCCAGGGCGTGAGCATGGGAGGAACGGGCGAGGGCGGTGTGGACGGCGGAGGGGGAAGAGGAGGGTTGATGATGATAGGCGGGTGGGTGGGGCCATGCGACGATGTCATAGAGGACAGCTGCGAGGTCATAGAGGACTCGGTCACCACGCAGCTATAGGAGCAAGGGACGACCAGACTGTTTTTCTTTGTTTGTTTGTTGCAAAATGGAAAAATACGTTCAGAGCGAGTGGAACAGAGAGAGAGGTGGGAGGGGGAAGAGTTCTTCAGTCTAGAACGATGTTCTAAAGGCCGGTGTCATCGACCGTCCTCGAGTGGCAGATTTTTATAAAGACAGTTTGTCACCATCTCACAGACACAGTCACACGCCCCGTACGAGTTAGCAAACAGGCTACATGGCAAGCAGGCGCTAAAACGTGGCACAGTAAATAAAGATGGACGACGCGTCTCCACTTTCCGGAAATGAGGCTAAAATATCTGGGATTCAAACGCTGCTATCTTCTGCCAGTGATGTCATGTGGAGTCGGAGTCTGTTCAGCAGCGGTGTCGTGATTTGTTCATCATGTCATCCGAAGCCTGAGCTCTCGTCTTGTGACACCTCAGCACTGGCAGCGACAACAAACCTCGCTGACGCCAAGTACTTTTAATTTGGCGCCGTCGGCTGTTTAGCTCTGACACACGTGCCGTGTTTCGGTTTTTTTTAAGGATGGTTGTCGGGATCTGTCCGTCACGCCGGCTCGACCAATCACGCGTGAGAGGAGGCGTGGTTCATGGCCACCAGGCCGTGACAAAAGCGATTTTGATTCACTTGTGGGAGCGATCGTGTCGTCCATCTTTATTCACAGTCTATGCATGTTACCTACAGAGCTGTTGAGTGGACAGACTAAGCTAACTGAGCCCGCTGGTGAGCTAACACGCTAGACTCAGTGCGATATTCCAGTTGTTCTGGAATGTGAGATTTTGGCAAATGACAAGTCCGGGCTTCAAATGAAAAGTTCATCACTGACCTTGAATTAGTTTCATCAACGTCTGTTTCATCGTGTTGAATCGTTTTAAAGCTGCTCAGGGTTTGTTTTGTTGTCGTATCGCAGCTGACGTCTGACCGACCGAGCTGCTCGAACGTCCATCTTTTTCGTGACACTCGATCAAACCGTCTTTATAAACGTCTGCCACGTTCCACGCATGCCACAAGAGAACAACAGAGGACGAGATCTGAAAGGGAAGTACACTTTTTTTTTTTTTTTTCCTCTGGGAGATTTGAATGCGCATGATGATTATTATGGAATTAACCAGGAGCCAAAGCAACTTTCCACGAGGGAAATATTCGAAAAGATTCCTTCTGTTTTCCAGCTGCCATCTTTCCCTTTAACATCACGGAACAAAAATGGAATCACATCATTTCAAAATCTCTGGAATTAGATGGAACGACCGTTAAACTTCAGCCAAATGAGACAGAACAAGTCCCACTTTATACTTTGCAAAA